GCTTCTATCACTGGCTCACCCACTCGCCATAATGCCACGCACTTTTTCTGTAAAGCTTGCTATGCTGTTAGGCAAGCATTTTTACAAACAAAAGGAACTTTCACAGGCATGCATCATCATTGTTTTTCCTCGATTAAAAACATAAAGCAGATGAGCAAAAGTTTCAGCAGTAACTGACCACCAGGAGCTACAATTATGAAAACAAATTTCTTGATGATGACTCAACCACACTTTGTCACCTTCTCACCAACTCGTCATAATGCCACGCACTTTTTACGTAAAGCCTGCTCTTCTGTTACGCAAGTATGTTCACAAACAAACGCAACTTCAACAAGCATGCACAATCATTCTTTTCCCCAAATAAAAACTTGTAGCAGATGAGCAAAACTATAGCAGTAACTGACTGGCATGAGCAATAGTGATCGAAACGAATTTCATAATTGTGAGTTGACCGCGCTTTTATCACTGGCTCACCACCTCGTCATAATGCCATGCACTCTTTTTGTAAAGCGTGCTCTACTGTTAGGCAAGTATGTTCACAACCAAAAGCAACTTGACCACGCATAATTATTACTTTTCCCAAATAACACATGCAGCATGTGAGCAAAATTATGGCAGTAACTGACCAGCGTGAGCTTCAGTTATCGAAGCAAATTTAATAGTTGTGACTTGACCGTGCTTCTATCCCGGGCTTACCCACTCATCATAATGCCATGCACTCTTTTTTGTAAAGCGTGCTCTACTGTTAGGCAAGTATGCAAACGAACAAAAGCTACTTCTACAGGCGCGCAATATTATTTTTTCTTTCGATTAAAAACATGCAGCAGATAGCAGATAAGCGAAAATTACGGCAGTAACTGACCACCATGAGGTACAATTAGGAAAACAAATTTCGTAATTGTGACTTGACCGCAATTCTATCACCGGCTCACCAACTCGTCATAATGCCGCGCACTCTTTCTGTAAACAACTTGCACAAGCGTGCATAATCATTGTTTTTTTCCTATTACCATGCAGCAGGTGAGCAAGAGTTACGGCAGTAACTGACCAGCGTCGAAACGAATTTCATGATTGTGACTTGACCGCACTTTTCTCACTAGCTCACCAACTCATCATCATCCTACGCACTCCTGTAAAGCGTGCTCTACCGTTAGGCGATTATGTTCACAAGCAAAAGCAACTTTCACAGGCGCGCACAGTCATTATTTGTTCTCGAATAAAAAAATGCAGCGGATAAGATAAAGCTACGACATTAACAGACCAGCGTGAGCTACAGTTATCAAAACAAATTTCCTAATTATGATTCTACTGCACTTTGCCACCATCTCGCCGAATCGTCATAATGTCACGCACTGTTTCTGTAAAGCGTGCTCTACTGTTAGGCAAGTATGTAAACAAAAAAAACAACTTTTGCAGGCAAGCAAGTTTTTTTTTTTTCGATTAAAAACATCCAGCAGAGAGCAGATAAGCGAAAGTTACAGCAATAACTGACCAATGTGAGTGAAGACGTATGACGTGCTTCCGAGATCAGTCCACATAATACCGTGTGACAATTACATCTGATAATGCCATTGCTTGCCGTAATATTGTTATCCTCAGCGTCGTCACAATGACTTCAAGATGGCATCAAAAACTCTGGCGATGTGCAATGCCACAACGACCTCATTAGACGGCGTTGTTATATCACGGTGATTTTCTGCAACACTCACGTTCACACCCACTATCATTTTTATTGTACGATGTGGTGTCAAAAGCTTTCGCCTTAATTAGTGTAGCCGATCAACATGGCAAAATTTAAAAGCCCCTCCATGCAATGAACTGATGGGAGACGAGAGAGAGAAAAAAACACCTTGTATAAAAACAACAACAAACTTATCCTTAGGGTGCTTGGCGCATGATCATTCATTTTGTGTGCTGGTGACATTAGAATTAAGATAGTTCCAATTCGCTTCACCACAGGAATGTATCCTTCGGTTATGTCGCACAAATATTTTACATTTTTCACTGATCAGTGACGTGTGAGTTGTTGAGACCCTATGCCACTACCCTAACTACCCAATGCTGGCCGAAAATTCTGAAAATACCCTGCAAGAAGGTAGTTACGGTTGGAAAACTTGTGTTGCAGATGGGGAAAAAACAGCAGGAGCTGACTAGCGTAAGTTGCAGTTCTTAAACAAAAAGCATATTGCTTACTCGGCCACACTTCATGGTATTGAGAACACGCGCAACGACCATTTGATGGGGGCTGGAACTCGGTGATTAAGGCAGTTTTTTAGCTTATGAAGAAGAAACAACCGAATGTTCTTATCGAATGCAAAAGTCGCTCGATCGGTGGCGTTGGTGTCAACATGAGTAATGCGCACGTCTTCATCGTCAAGCTACGACATCGCCGTATGACGCCATGATAACGCCGCAGATCATAATTTGCTACGTAATCATGGCGTCAAGGTAAGCTGCAAAAGTCTTACTCTGCCTCATGTTCTGATGAAAGTGCAAGACTACGCTAGATGCAGATAGCTTTCTAAGGGGGCTAGTGCAAGATTATTAAGTTGACTGGGAAGAAAGGGGAGGTTGCTTTCGTTTTAATGTCGTCTTGAGCGATTGCGTAAAAGATCTTGTGAGCGTTCTTTGTTTTTTTGGGCTGTACCAAAGCTCTCTACCTTGTTTTGACTAGCGGAGAGCTGTAGCTACGGCAACACTGGGTACAATACATAGCATTAAGAAATGTCACGGTTCCTTGCGCATTCGCCAAATACTTTTGTTTCTTCTTGTCAGTCAACGGGATCACCCTTCCAAAGCCACCACTCGTCAATTGACCATGGACATTAACCATGGTGAATTTTCACTGTTGGTGAAGCATCTAAGGCTTTCACGTTAGCCATCGCAAACAGTGACAATAACACCGAAATGGGGCGCCAGAATAATGATAAGTCAAACCGGGTAAACAATGAAAGTTCCACTTCATCACCGACTTGTATCGAGTGTAAGATGAAGGAGCTCCAGCTGATTATACCACCACAGCAGTAGTTCAACCACCACGGCTTCTGCGGCCGTTTTATGAGTTCTTTGCAGTATATTCGACAATTAACTGCAAACGTCATCTTGCTCGAAAATTTTCAGCAACAGAAAAAATGGTTTAAACAAAATTCACTAAAATGCATTTATCCATTTCCTAGATGAAATCATCTCATTCATTGGACGAGATGATTTTTACAGGAGGCGTGAGCCAGGTAACAATGACTGGAAAGTCCTTGTTTCCTGACTAATTCGTTTATATCAGTCAATGCTCAGGAGGTTTTTACCGTGTGTGCCATAATTTTTTGTAGCGTATACGTAGTTATTGCAGTACAAGGTTTGAAACCTTCTTGCGATCTATTTTTGGTGAATGAAGGAACTATATACGGTACACAAATGCTTTCTGAACTTTTATTTTTTGACTCCCAAACAAGTTCTTCCTTTCTACATTAGTGACATGTGACAGTTTTTTTTTTGTCTCACCTTGGTTTTATAACTACATTACTTTAGAGTTGAGAAACTGCAATTAGGTACTTCGGTTTGGTCACTGCAACGAATGTACAGAAAACGCGTTCTTGTACCTTCGGTGTAAGCACCGTACCTTTTTGGTTGTGGTATAAATCAAACTTCGGATTTCAATAAAGACCTTGTGAGAGATAGCTAAGAGTTATCTCGAGGTACCCTCAATATTTATGGGCACTTATGGGCATAATCGAACGTTTTCTAGCTGAAAGCTTTTTCTCCTAATTCAGGATAAATTTTTAAATTCAAGATAGTCGCGCATTTTCGTAGATATCACATTCGGTACCCACTTAACGATAAAGCAAATGAGGCCTAAACTACCTCATAGGCCATTGTATTAGTTTTTATTCTGGTGTGCAAAAGATTCTGGGACCTTGGGCATCTGCATCAATTGCACAGAAAGCGACTGAAGCACTACTACTTTACTTAAAGACAACAAACCTGAGCGACCGCCTGTAGACGGTGTGTGCTCCCCGAGTGTTCTTGTGATTGTATGTACCTTCTTATCTCTCTGCAACCTATTTTTTTCCCTTCATCTTTTCCCCAGTGCAGGGTAGCAAACCGGATGGGCGTCTGGTAACCTCCCTGCCGTTCTTTGCATTTTTATCTCTCTCTCTTTATCTTGACTCATGTACAACCCATACTTATGGTAATTCTAATAGCAGCTTTTGAAAGGCGAGATTCATTTATTGTTGAACATATTGTTTACTGGTTACATATTGCTACACTATTACACTCATTTGGAACTTCTAAGGACGCAAAAGGAGGGGGACGCAAACAAGTTCACAACAGAGGCACTTTTTCGCCTCTCAATACAACATCTCCTTGATGTAGTCGATACATTCTTCACTAAGTAAATGAGCACTGAGTGAATAGGACTTGCATAAAACAGGCATCTCATTTCCTCAGCGTTGAGAAATAGTTCGACGAAAATCTCACGTGGACTGATGTTTCGACATGATTACCACTGCCGTGTTTAGACAAGTCATTTTGTTCGTTTAGAATAAATAAGGTCTTGTTTAGAATACTTGACTTGGGTGACAACACCAAGTCTTTGCTATCAATCGCGTCATACTCTCGCGCTGAGTAAGCCTTCAGGTTTCATTCTGATGTCGCAACTGCTTCAATTTCTCGCTCGAAGTTCTCCCCGTCGCTTACCGCACTTTTGTCGGACTTACGCCGCCCATCATATATTCGAGCGTTTGCATCGTGTGTCTTCGCATTGTGAATATGTAATTGGGATATGTAATTGGGATGTAATTGGGTTTCTGCAACCACTCCTCGAATTCCCGGAAAGCAGAGTTTTTCGAAATGTTTATATGCGCTTAGCTCGACAGCTGGCGCCATGGTGGTGCTTTGTTGGCCGATGAGCCCCAGCGTCTGCTTTCTTGCGAGCTGCATGTGCATGCGGCTGTGTCGTGGGTTTGCAGATAATGAGCGAGCACTTTCCTTCCTCGACGCAGTGCCTCCTGGCGATCCTGTTATCTTGGATGAAGATGGAAAACAGCTGCAAGGCCTGGTGGGGCCGTACAACGAAGGAGACCCGCTCACGCTGACGTGCCAAGTGGAAGTTGGTAAGAAGCGGCCTCGCAAAAAAAAATTAAGACGCCGCACGGGCTTACGTACCTAACTTGAGCAAACTTTCGTTGGAGCCAAGACGGCGACTGCCACTTAAGCCAGAGACGGCGGAGAAGCGGTACGCATGCGAACCGAGTGTATGTGTAGATTACGACTGCCTAAATGCTGTGAGCGCCAGGCTATGTTAATTTGCAACTTCACCGAGGTGTGTAGAGTGCTACAGATGGTCTGATTGGTGTAGCGAAAGTTAGGTCAACTTCCTTAGCGCGAGCTTTGACATTTTTTATATGGGTTGTGGCTCAAGGTGTTTAGACTATGAGTACATGTGTAAGTATACCGTTTTTTGGGCTCACGGCTAACAGGCATTCCATTTGCACTTGTCTTGTCAGATTATGTGAATGTTTTATCACAAACATCACATAATTACTTTTCTGTAACAGTTGCGGCGTTTACACCCTACATAAAATACAAAACGAGGCTTTGCGCTGTTTTCATTGCGAGTGTTGGCTTAAGTCTCGATCAATAACAAACCGACAAACGAACAGACACGTGCGCACGCTCTTATACGCACGCACACATACACACACAAACATTTACGTGAGTACTTGTCGTATGTTGAAAGAGACAACGACAAAGCGGGCACACTCAGCGAAACTACATCCGCCGCTTTGCTTCGCTACACTGCAGGTAAACCTCGGCCGGCCGTTACCTGGTGGAAGGACTACGCACAACTGGACGAGTCGTACTTCTTCTCCCCGGACGGCTCACTGGTCAAGAACAAGCTCGAAGTGGCGGCCATCACGCGCAACGACCTACTGGCCACGTTCACGTGCCAGGCGGCCAACAACAACATCACCATACCAGCCTCGGTCTCCATCACGCTCGACCTGAACTGTAAGTGGGCCGCGGTTTTTTCCTGCTTTTCGTCCCGCCAAGGCAGTTAAGAGAGGCAATACCCGCGCGTGTTGGAGCAGTTTCCTCAACAATAGCCGTATATGGCGAGAGCCCATTGCCTTTCGTCATTGTTAGCGATAGAGAAGCAGCTGGAGTTTGCAGGTTGCGCCGAAGCCACGGAGAACGCATTGAGTTCCTGCCTCCGTAACGGGAACGAATGGCGGAGATGAAGAGGTTGCGAGCGTTGGGGAGGGAGATCTCGATTGAATTGTGATTGACGGCGAATTTTATTGCGCGCCGGTGCAAACAAAGCGCAGGATTGTGTGTGTTATATGTGAGCGAGCGCACCTCAGCTTGCCGACTCGCTTTCGCCCCCCGCCCTTTCCGAGATCCGTAACGGTGAATGGCGAGCGCTGGTGTCCTGGCTCAGAGTTATAACTCCCACACTAACAACCCAGGCTAGCTTTGGTTAATGATGAATTGTGTAGGTTTGTTGTGTTTATCCGCTGACAACTCTGCAGCATTGTTTTTCTTCGACCTAACTTTGGCGATTCTCTCGCACATTCATGTGCAACTAACTCGGTCGATTGAGATTTTTTTTCAGAAAGAAAATAAAGAAACCGCTCCTTCGAGTTCGGAAAGACATAAATGGCATATTCGGCTGGCCACTCCGGTCTTCTGTCTCGGAGTTGCCGATGCCGAAGCTGCTCGCAATAAGAGCGCGAGAGGTGGCGAACCAACCGAGTACATCGGCGATCTCAAAGCACTCCACGGCGCACACATGAAAGCTCCCTAAAAGCAGCGCGTCAGTAGCGCCATCATGCAGTCAGCGCGGGAAGCCGCTGGGTCAACATTCCTGCGCCGCAGCAAGTAATGGCGCCGATCAGTTCAGTGGACCTCTCTGACACGCCTGGATGTAGCAAAAGCCTTCTGATTTCAGCAAACAAATCTGGCGATTCTCTTCGTCCAAGCTGCTATCTTCGAGGATCACGAGGCTGTCTGCGAGATTCTGTAATGACAGCATTGACATTTCCTGCGCCATCTTTAGCCGCCACCTTATTGACATGGCGCGTGAGGCTTCGTGGATGTGAACTCGCCACACATGCTCAAAAACACCACTAACAAAGCATGCACATGCACGAAGTAATACGCGCCCGGTGAGGCGATGGCTCCTTCCGAAATGTGCGCTCGCACTCTTCATGTGGTTCACCTGCCTGCACCCATGTGATTGGCCGGCTTGTGTCATGTGATCCGTCCTCCCAATGTCACAATCATCTGATCGCGCCACGCCCTCACTTCGAAGTCAGAGTGGTTGGGAGCGCTCTAGGTCAGAGGCTTCGGAAGAACCTACCGAAGGTAGCCCGACCACTCGCATTCTACCAACCAAACGGGCAGCCACTTTTCAGAGTGTTCTAGAGTGCTTGGAGACGCCCAACCAAATAAGCAAAAAGACTTCGTTTAAATTCATGGTAGATATAAGGATGTACCATGATTTATAATATGAATAGCACCGTGCCGGGGCTCAACGCAACTCCGTTCTGGTACCTCTGGCACTCAAAATCTGTTGGCAAATATTGCTAATAAAATAAAGATCAATAAATTTTGAACCCTACCTTTCAGTAAAATTACAGCGCGTAATGTGAAACACCATAATGTAACTATGCAGATTTGTTTTGACCTGCGGAGATTCTTTTGTAGGTAGCCAAAAAACGGTAGATCCCGCTTTGCATTCCTCGACTGTAATTCGACCGCAGCTGACCATACCGAACTTCTTACCTCGTGCAAATAAGCAATTAGTCATAGCCTAACACCTCGTGCGAATAAGTACATTGTCATAGCCTATCTAGAACCCTGACTGGTGTTCGAGTTCAGTATTTGTTATATCAGCTTTACTGAAGTTTGTTAACGTGTGAAATAAAAACAACCCAAGAAAAAGTAGTGAACTAATACGAGACAACCAGATTTTTTTTAAACTGGACAATCAGCTTTCAATTTGCCTCATGCCGTAGTCTTGCCACATGCCATATCCTTGTATGGTACCGAAGAACTCAAGGCTGCGTAAGAAGTGCTTATGGCTAATTAGAATGTCTATATGAGTACGTGCATGTACTGGTGGCTAGTGCAAGCACAGACAATGCACTTGGCTCATGGCCATTATAACATGTTGGATATAGCCCCTCCCTGACATAATTATCAAACTGTGGTTCAACTTTACGAAATTTCCTGTTTACTTGTCCTTAGCACAAACACAACAAGCACAGATTATTCCGAGGAAGCTTGAACAGCCTGACAATACCCGTCTTGCTTTTTTTTTTTTGTCATCACGTATCTATGATATACCGTACTAAGACGCACACAAACTTGCAGAATGCAATGTAAAAAAAATATAGGCATATGAGGCAGTTCAAACGATCGAAACAATGCAACGAGAACAATTATTTCTTTTTTAGTGTGTCTTTTTGTTATGCAGTGACGCAATATCAAAGTAAAACTTGTTCGCAAAAACGTGAAGATTTCACACATTACACGAAAGCGACAAATCAATAACAACTGAAATCCGTTTGATAGCCCACTAACGTCTTTATTAGTGTTATGCATAATCCCCATTATTTTCCTCATAATCAAACCATAGTTTATACTCATTTCTCAAACGTCATTGCGAAGTTATAATTATTTTTTACCGCTCTTTCTGGTTCTAAATATAAGTAGTGGTTGTCATCTGCCGTTAACAACGATTATTACTGCATGCTTCAAAAGAGATGAATACTTCAATCGAAAACACAAAGTCGTAAACACACTATCTGTCCGCAGTTGCCACCTTGGGCAAGCGGTATGGTGAAATTCGCGGGGCTTAAAAGTTAACCGCTATAAAAAATGAATATTCTAGGAACCAAAAACATACTCTATTTCTTTTGCTGTATACACGGATAAGGCATTAACGAAAAGAAGACATGCAATAACCTGACCAAAAAGCGGTGAAAAGAACGTTATGAAACTGATTTCCTTGCTGTGGCAGAATCTTTTCTTTTTCTGTGTCTAAGTCAAAACAAAACGAGGTATACAGTGCCAGTGGAAGAACTCTCGCATTTAAGTTGCGAAGAGCGCACTTCTTGGTGTCTAGGTGGAACATAATGGTCCCTAAAGCAGTAGGATGGAAGGAGTTAGACATAAATATAGGTACATCTGATAAAAAAAAAAGAAAACGTACAGTGTAAGCAAAAAGCTGAGAAATAGTTTTGATACTCTTTCCGGACCGAAAGATGATCTCCTCTTATAGGACTGCATCAAAAAGCAAGTAAAGAAGCTGAAGAAGTACACGAAATAAAAGAAGTCTTGGAAGTACCGCAAGAAAGAAGGTAGGCATGAAGGAGCACTACCTCGCCTTTTTCGAAATGTGAAGAAGTATACCCTTACACGTAACGCTCGCCACACACGCCCATAAGCGGTCCCGCTATGTTTCCCGCGGGAGCATTAAAAGGAGAGGACGTCGAAAGGCCACTAGTGACGGTGAAAACCGGAAAGAAAAAAAAAGAGGTCACGTGAAAGTTGAGAGTTCGCTAAAGTGAAATCTATACCCGTGGCCTCCTTTTTACCAGTTCCGCCTAATCTTTTAAGGCATCTGTTGAAAGGGTCCTCCTTTATCAGCAACACGCGAACGCCTACACTGAGGCTTTAGAATATTGATTTCAAAGTTACTGCGGGAAAATTTTTTCTTTCACTTTCACTCTTTCATGTTGCTAGGCTGGCTTCAGTTTCTTTCCCGGCGTGTGGCTAAAGATTGCCTGCGGGACGACCGGGGCCCTAAACGATGTTTTGTAATCCTCTTTCGACATGGTTCAATATTCAACTACTTAATCCTTGATTATACGCGTTCTTCTTTATTCAAGGTGAGGAACCTGCAATATATCGGGATTTCGCACTAAACACTAATAGCACAGCCCCAATACTTCGATGCGGTACTACTTGCATTGCGACATTCGCCTAAATGTGAATATCATGTAAATGTAAACGTGAATTCAACACATTTGTGAAAAACATTTTTGAAGTTAAGCAACCTTAACCTCGCAATAACGATAAAAAAATTTTTAATTGAGCTCCTCAACGATTATTTTTTTTATTTTTCATTATTTTTAAGGGTTGCTCAGATGAGCTTCAAGTTATCCGTACGAGATCATTTATACCATTGCTGCAAGAACCAATGACAGTCTAACAAAAAGCTAATTTGTCATACACTCTAGACAAGCAGGTGGTATTCTTCCTCTGATACTTGATTTACGCGAAGAAAAAAAAATGGATAACAGCACTAATTAGGCAACCTTCCTGCACGGCTCGACTCACGTACGCGCTATAATCGCTAAATTGATAGCAATTTTGTTACTGAGTATACAGGCAATCGTTGGCGACTTTGGGATGACTGGCCAACCTGCAGCTACAGTCTATAACAAATGCCGGCATCACTAGTTTTTATGGCAAGCAACTACGAAATGCCTGCCCAGCTTTCTAGGACCAGTTTGCTTTTGTAAGACATCTGTAAAGCTGGCTTCTTTTAACTGACTTGTTTTCTGAATTCTGCGTGTATAATTACGGTGTCTTCATGGTTTTTTATATCACTATCATTTTATATCGCTACAGATGTAAATATAAAGTAAGCTGTAATTACATTCCGGCTGTCTTCCCGGTATTTTCATTGTGCTCCTCTGTGGTTATTATCTGTATATATCCGACTTACAATTCAATTCAACCAAGTGATTTTTTGAAATCAAACTAAAACTTATAGAAAAGTGGTGCAGAGATATCACGGTCGGAACAACAAAATAAAGGTAGAGCCAGATATAATTGACAAGTGAACACGGCACACGCAAACGACCTCCGATAAATCGAAATTGCGCTCAACCTGCTAATGAGGCCTGCCCTCATTACACCCATCATTAGCCACGCGAAAGCAGACACTTCGAAGTCGTTTGTGCAAGGTGATCACGTGAACAGCAAAATCTATCTCG